AAGATTCTGAGGAGATGAGGGAGGCTGGTATCTTTCAGAGTGCAAAGTGATTTTGGAATGTAAAGAATTTCTTTGGATTGAGATCCATGGAAGTTTGTCACTCATTGACCTATATTCCTGATCTATGAAACACAAATATTTGGGCTAAAGAATAGTTTCTCTTGATAAATAAACAATTAAGAAATATGTGGGAAAAAAATGAAGACAATCCATAAAAGGGGAAAAATATTTGCAAATTATATCTGACAAGAGACTAGTATCTGGAATATATAAAGAACAATTACAAATCAACAATAAAAAGACAACCCAATTTAAAAATGGGCAAAAATCTGAATAGACATTTCTCCAAAGATATATAAATGGCCAAAAAGCATACAAAAAGAGGTTCAACATCATTAGTAATAAGGGAAGTGAAAATCAAAACTTCAATGAAATACCACTTCATACCCAGTAGGATGGCTAAAATCAAAAAGACAGATAATAGGGGCTAGCCCCATGGCCTAGTGGTTAAGTTTGGCATGCTCTGCGTCAGCAGCCCAGGTTTGGTTCCTGGGCATGGACCTACACCACTCATTGGCAGCCATGCTGTGGCACTGACCCACATATGAAATAAAGGAAGACTGGTATAGATGTTAGCTCAGCAACAATCTTCCTCAAGTAAAAAGAGGAAGATTGGCAACAGATGTTAGCTTAGGGCAAATCTTCCTCAGCAAAAAACAAACAAACAAAAACAAGTAAGAAAAAGTGTTAGTGAAAGTGTGGAGAAATTAGAACCCTCAAACATTGCTTGTGGAAATGTATAAAAGTGTAGCTGCTATGGAAAACAGTTTGGCAGTTCATCAAAATGTTAAAAGCAAATATAGGGGCCGGCTATGTACCCGAGTGGTTAAGTTCACACGCTCCGCTGCGGTGGCCCAGGGTTCGGATCCTGGGCACGGACATGGCACCACTCGTCAGGCCACATTGATGTGGCATCCCACATCCCACAACTAGAAGGACGTGCAACTAACATATACAGCTGTGTACTGGGTGGTGGGGGGGGGGGGTGGTTGGGGAGATAAAGCTGAGAAAAAAATATTGGCAACAGTTGTTAGCCCAGGTGCCAATCTTAAAAAAAAAGAAAAAGAAAAAGAAAAGCAATTATAATAAGACCTGGAAATTCTACTCCTAGGTGCATACCCAAGAGAAATGAAAACATGCATACAAACAAAAGTTTGCATCTAAATTTCACAGCAGCATAATAGTTGAAAAGTAGGAACAACTCAAATGTCCATCAACTGATGAACCAATAAAGAAAATGTGGTATATCCATACGATGGAGTATTATTTGACAATAAAAACGAATGAAATACTGATACATGCTACAACATGGAAGAACTTTGAAAACATTATGCTGACAGAAGCCTCTCACAAAGACCATACACTGTGTGATCCCATTTATATGAGGTCTAGACTAGGCAAATGCATAGAAACAAAAAGTAAATGAGTGGTGGCTCCCTAGGGCTGGCAGGGGAGGGTAGGGGGAGAATAGAGAGCAACTGCTAATGAGTACTGGTTTTCTATTTAGAGTGAAGAAAATGTGCTAAAATTAGATTGTGATGATGGTTCCACAACTCTGTGAACATATTAAAACCCACAAATTTGTAAAATGAGTGAATTTTCTGGTACGTGAATTAAATCTCAATCAAGCTGCTAAAAAATGTATTGTGAAAAAAAACTCAACCAGTGTAATTCTCAACAATAAGAAAGCAAAGAAGAAACTTTGTATGGTCGTCTCAGTTGGGGCGGGGTGGCATCTGATAAAATTAAAAATCCATTCAGAGCAAAAGCTCCCTGACACAGGAAAAACAGGAGAGAATTTCCTTAATGTGATGAAAGATTTTTACCAAAAACCTTCAGCAAACATCATACTTAAGGTAAAATGGTGAAAGCTTTCCCTGCAAGATCAGAAAACACAAACATGCCTACTATGTCCAATTTTAACTGTGGAATCAGATCAACTGAATAAGGCAAAAGGAAAAGGAGAAAGCAAGAAAAGAAAAAAAAATAAAATTTTAGTTAAATGACACAACAGGATTGTGTACACAGAATAAAAATAATCTACGCATAACTAGTAGATTTATAAGTTAATTTAGTAAGGTTGATGAACACATGATCAATATACATAATCATGTTCCTCTTATATAGGCAAAACTCAGAAAATAAAATTTTAAAATTGATACCATTCTCAAGAGTATCAAAAAAAATTCAAATTTCAGAAATCTAATAAAAAGATGTACAAGACTTGTATATAGAAAACCATGAAAGAGTTTTGAAAAAAATTAAAGAAGATCTAAAACAAAGAAGTGGTAACCGTGTGAAGAGACTGGAAGTGATTACAATATAAACGGACTCTGGAGATGATGTCACGTGAAGGTGAAACAATGTGAACACCAGAAAAATAGGCCCAGTTCTTAGTTCTGAAGGTGGAGAAAGAACTGATATTTCTGGAGGGCCTATCATATAACAGTGTCTATTACATGTTAAGAACATGGACATATGCTATCTCATTTAATCCTCCTAAAAACCCTATGAAACAAGCACTGTATTCTTGTTCACTAATGAGGAAACTATGACACAGTGGGCTGAGAAAGCCAGGATTCAGTTGCAAGTCTGTATTGCTACAAAGCCTAAAAAGAAGTAAAGCTTCATCCAAAGATTTAAAACACAAACAAAAATCAAACAAATCCTGGCTTGACGTATGTTCCTAGGAAGATGGACTATACACACAGTCACTCGGAAAAACAGTTTGACAATTTCTTAAATAACTAAATATGCAACTACCATATGACCCAGCAATTGTACTCCTGGGCATTTATCCTAGAGAAATAAAAACTTACGTCCACACAAAAACTTATACATGAATGTTTACAGTAGTTTTATTCATAATAGCCAAAAACTGGAAACAACCCAGATACTTTCCAACGGTTGAATGGTTAAACAAACTGTGGTACATCCATATCATGGCATACTACTTAATAACAAAAAGGCACAAGTGAAACACACAACAATCTTGATGAATCTCCAGAGAATTATGCTGAGTGAAAAAAGTCAATTTCAAAAGGTTACACATTGCTTGATTCCATTTATATAACATTCACAAAATGACACAATTATAGAAATGGAGAAGAGATTAGTATTGCCAGGGGTTAAGGAAGGGAAGGATAGAAGTTGTGGCTATAAAGAAGCTACATGAGGGATCCCTGTGAGATGGAAATATTCTCTATCTTGATTGTGTCAATATCCTGGTTGTAATGTTGTACTATAGTTTTACAGGAGGGTAAAGAGTACACTATTTGCACTATTTCTCACAATGGCATATGAATTTACAATGATCTCAAAATGGTAATTTAAAAATACTTTAAATATTAATTTTAAAAAAGTGAAAAAACACAAAATCTGGCTTAACAAATACCAATGAATCTGAAAGATTGGGATAATGAAATCCAAAAAGATAAAGCTCCAATATAGTGTAGCTAGAGGCAGCCGTAAGACATATATCTGGGTCTTCGCTCCCTTTTCAACACAGGAATGCTCACAGGGCTAAATCTCAGTGAAAATATCTATTTTAAATAGTCAAAATATTTGCTCTGTAAAGAATTACAGTTAAAAAATAATCATCTAATGAATTCCATATCTGAATTTCATTCTTTCACTCATTCAACAAAAATATATTTGGTTGTTTACATGGAGCAGACATCACTCTAGGCTCTGGATATGTAATAATAAAGAAAGAGACGCAGTTTTGAAGAAATACTATAAAGAAAGTACTAGGTGTTAAGAGAGCATAGAGGAGGGACTCAGTTTTCGGATTTGGGGGGTTGGAAGGCTTCCTAAGAGATCTGAAGAAAAAATAGACAATAACCAGATGAGAAGTGTATATAAAGGCCCTGAATTGGAAGTAAAAGGAAAAGAGCAAGAAAGAATTCTCAGTCTTCATCCTAGTGGACCTATCAGTAACTCATTCACTCCTCACTGAATCACTTTATTCACTTAGATTCTAGAATAGCACATCCTCATGGTTTTTATCTTACGTCACTGGTCATTCCTTCTCAGTCTAAACTTCTGTTGGTTCTTCCTCATCTCCCTATCCTCTTAAGGTTAGAGTGTACCAGGGCTCAGTTCTTAGCATCCTTTGCTCTATCCTTTAGAGATCACATTAGTCTCATGGCTTTAAATATTACCTCTATGCCAAAGATGCCCACGTTTATATATGGAGATCAGACCTGTCATGAACTTCAGATTTGTATATCTAACCAGACATCTCTACGTAGCAGTCTAATGCCCATCTCAAACTTAACATGACCAACACTTAACTCTAGCTCTTTCTCTCAAACCGTATTCCATTCAGTCATCCCCGTCTCATCCTTACAGTTGCTCATACCAATTCCTTGACACCTCTGTCTCATTGCACACATCCAATCCATCAGCAATTCCTGTTGGTTCTACGTTGAAAATATACCCAGAATCCCACCATTTCCCAGCACTTCCAAATCTGCTCTCCAGATGTGAGCCTCTGTCATCTCTAGTCTGAATTGCTGCAAGCATCTGATACCCCAGCTTCTGCTTCTTTCTCTACATTCTCCTCTCAATACAGCAGTCAGAGAGAGACTTTGAAAAAGGAAGTCTGATCATATCAGTTCTCAGAACTCCTCAGCGGCTCCCTATTCTACTCAGATAAAAGCTCTGTCAGTGGTTTATAAGCCCTTCTGCAATCTGTCCCTTTCCTCCTTACTTTGTCCTCTTACGTCTCCACCTCCCTTTTTCCTCTCTGTAACACTGAGGTCTTTACACGTTCCTGCTTTGGACTTTGCACTAGCTGGTCCAAATGCCCATACCACTCCTCCTCCAGATATGCACATGGTTACTTCCCTTGTTTCCTTCAAGAGTCTTTTCTGAAATGTCAATTTCTCAATGAAAACTTAACTTGACTACCTTATTTAAAATTGCAACTTTCCTGCTTGCTTCAGCAGCACATATACTAAAATTGGAATGATACAGAGACAATTAGCATGGCTCCTGCACAAGGATGGGACACAAATTCACGAAGTGTTACATATTTTTGAGAGAGAGAATTTTAAAGTAAATGTGGCGAAATGTTAACAACATGTGATCTGGGTCAAGGGCACATGGGAGCTCTTTCCACTATTCTTGTGACTTTCTGTAAGTCTTATATTAATTCAGAATAAAAGTTAAAAATTTTAAAAACAAAAAAATTGCAACTCCCTATTATCTCTTCCATGCACTACTTTTTCCTTCTTGATAGTACTTATCACCTTGTATAACACTATAATTTAGTTATTATGGTTTTTGTTTATTGTCTGTCTTGCCCCCACTAGGGTGTAAGCTCCATAAGGGCAGAGTGTCTGTTTTGTTTCCTGGTGTATTCCATGCACCTAGAGCAGTGCCTGGCACTAAGCACTCAATATTATTTGTTATATTAAAGCTTCTAAGGACAGGGAGACCATGATTAGAAAATCTAGACGTAAAATAGTTCATAGAGATGAGAAAGTATAAGGTGGGACCATAGGAGTGCATGGCTCAACTAGCGTGGAAATAAAGTTCACAGGAGACACACAATCCAAGAACTCAGAAACTAGCATGTTGTGCCAGCTGGGCTATACATTCAAACGCAGAAGTCACTCTAGATAGATAGAAAGACAGTAAGCTAAGTTCAAGTTACAGCAGGGAAAATGGGGATAGTTTGCAGTGATTAAGATTAGAGGGAGATAGTTTATTAAACATGGAGCAGGGCTTGATATTAGGGTATTAGAATACCCTAAAAAGTTCTAAGATAGAAAAGAGGCCTACATATGGAAAATTCTTCCTAATACATAGTATCAAGCAAATCTTCTGTTCAATTTAAAAACAAATTCAGTTAATCTAGATAACGAAATTTTATAAATTCATCCTAGTCAAAAATTGTCAGTGGAAACAGTTCTAATTACCATGGCCATTTGACTACATAGGAACAACCAGTAAATGTTGTGAAAATGAAATACCTGAAACAAATCTTGGGTGAGCTATGATAAAAGAGTTGATTACTCCTCCTCTCATCCACTGATAATAGGAGACAGGTGGACAGAGGTAAAGGGAGAGGACTAGAAGCTAAGAACCTCAGTAAATGCATTTCCCCAGTTAAGTAAGTACGGAAGTAACCACCTGATAATGTAAGTAGTTTCAAGCTCCTTCTTGGAAATACAAATTTGGCTTGAATAAACGGCCAGTTCCTGCAAGTGGTGAATGTGGAGGTCTATCAGACTCCTCTGCTTTAAAGTACATGGATTCCAGAAACCACAGACTCACCCAAAAAAAAAAGAAAGCCAGTTTGTGATTATGAGTTTGAAAAGGGAGTCAATGAAGATGTCCACTATCTACTCAAACATTTTCAAAGTGATTATACACCAAGTCATACAGTACTCAATTATAGAAACTCTTCAGATTTCATCAGGACTTGGGATGTACCTATTTCATACTTTAACACACTCCATGCTTACATAACAGTGTACATTCTATTTATATGTTTATATCTGATATAGCTATATTTCTAAATTGTCAGTAAGCTATAAACTAAATTTAATAAATTGAAATCACATTTTTGTCAGTAAAATTGAATATTCTAAAATGATAAAAGATCAATTTCAATAAATTATAGAATTATATAATATTTTTTAAATCACTTATGGGGCTTAAAAACTGCCATATCTAATATCTAAGTACTTTAAAATCAAGGACACTAGAATCTTTCATTCTACAGGGAACTGTTTTCAGAATAATGATAAAATAACTCCCACTGATTGAGTGACCTCTTTCTGTGAGGTACTACACCAGGAAATTTTAGAAAATCTCCTGTCAGTCTCACTACAACTCACAAAGATAAATAATATTATCCTCATGTTAAGGAAAAGAAAATTAAGGTTCAGAGATGTTAAATAATTTATCACCAGTTAGCAACAGGTGCTATTAAGCCTGGAATTCAGATTGGTCTAATTTATAAGTCTGAATTTTTGCCATTATGCAACACACTGCCTCTTAAAATCACGCATTCAACAAATACTTATTGAGTGCCTATTATGCACCAGGCATTGCAGAGGTACCAAGTACACAAAGATGAATTTGTGCCATTGCAGCCTCACCTCCCAGCCCAATCTAGGACAGAAATAAGACATTAAACAAATAACTGCAAGATGATGCAATGAACGCTATGAAAGAAGTAGAGGTAAGAATACCATATATAAGTGGGAATGTTGACTCTGTAAGGTAGCAAGCAATCAAAGGCTTCACTTAGGAGAAAAAATGCTTGGTATATAGTAGAACTTACATAAATATTTGATTTAACTTTTAAGTTGAAACTTGAAGGAAGAATGGAGTTTGCAGATAGAGAATCAAGATAATGACATTGTACAGAAAGAGAAGGCATATTTGCAAGAACACAAGTTTCAGAAAATCCTAAGCAGTTTAGTATAGCTAAGAAATATGATGCTTGTGACAAATGATAAAGAAGTAAAAACAGGTCAGGCCACAGAGGTTCTCACATGTCATGCTAAGAGAGCTTGGACTTCATTCTGTAAGAAATTGAGAGCCTTATTAGGCTGCTATTTTACAAAGATTACCCTGCCAAATTTGGAAGAAGAGATGTGGAAGCCGGGACAATCTTTTAAAAAGCTACCACAAATACTCCAGGTAATACAATTTATAATCTCTTAGCTTCAGACTCCTATAATCTAATTACCCAGCTGACATTTTGGATATCTCATAGATGTTTCTAGCCTAAATGTCCAAAACCAAAATCTTGATTTCTCCACCAAACCTGTTAGTTCCCTGCCCAATCCTTCAGGAATAGTACAACCATGCAAGTTACTCAAACCAGCAACCTAGGTTCATTCTTGATTTCTCCCAGTAAAAAATTTAAGCTAAAAACAGCATTAAAAAGTTAAAAAGACAAATTTCAAAATGGGAGTAAAGGCTTGCAAACCATGTGGCAAAGAGCTAATAACCTAAGCAATAATTTCTTTAAAATTACTAAGAAACAATAATAGATAACAATAGGCAACTGGAAAGAGATTAAACAACAATGGACAATATACATACAAAAGATGCTCAACATCAACAGAATTCAATTAGATGCAAACTAAATTAATGAGGGATCAGTTTTTACAGTCAGATTAGATAGATTAAAAGATGGGAAATGGGAGCTCTCAAACACTGTTAGTGGGAAAGAAAATGGGTACAACCTTTCTGAAAGGCAGTTTAGGAATTACAAAGTATTTGTGGCTAAATAATTCTATTTCTAAAAAGTTAGGTTCAACGGATAATCAGGCAAGCATACAAAGACAGTGTGCATGACAGCATTGTTTTTAAAAGTTAATAACTGATCCAGCAATCTCATTTCTGGGTATATATCCAAAAGAAATGAAAACAGGATCTTGAAGTGATATTTGCACACCCATGTCCATTGCAGCACTATTCACAACAGCCAAGAGGTGAAAACAACCTAAAGGTCCATCAATGAAAGAAGGGATAAATAAAATGTGGTACATACATACTATGGAATATTGTTCAGCCTTAAAAAAGAAGGAAATCTTGTCATATGCTACAATACGGACGAAACTTGAGGATATTATGCTAAGTAAAATAAGCCAGTCACAGAAGAGCAAATACTGCTTGATTCCACTTATATGACATCTCTAAAGTAGCCAAACTCTTAGAAACATAAAGCAGAATGGTGGTTGTCAGGGGCTGTGGGAAGGGGAAAAGGGAGTTGTCAATGAGTACAGTTTCAGTTTTGCAATATAAAAAAGTTCCAGAGATTTGTTGCATGACAAGGTGCATATACTTACTACCAGGGTACACTTAAAAATCGTTAAGATGATAAATTCTGGTTTTTACCACAATTAAAAAAAAAGTTAATTGAAAATAATGTAAATATCCATCAGCTAGGAATTGGTTATTTTAGAGATATACAATGAAATACCAGATAGCCATCAAAAACAATAATACTGACATTCATTCGGTCATATACACAGCCTATTGTTGAGTTAAAAAAAGTTTACTAAAGAGTAAAGTTGTATGATAGCATTCATACATACTCTGTACCTATAAGAGAGAGGTATCCGCAAGGATATTCACCAAAATTTAAAGGTGGTATTTCTGGGTAACAGAATTAGAGATGACCTTTACTTTTTTAAATATATATATCTTCCTGCGTGTTTAAATACAATGAGTACGTACTATGTCCACAAAGGATGGCTCAAAGGAAAAAGTGACTGCCATCATTCATTCTAGAATTCTGGGATAGAATTTTACGTTTCTCTCTGCTATGTGTCTGGCACATACTGGGGAACTAATAAATTTTTAAGAGGCAGGATGAGCAGTGGTTAAGAGCTCAGGAATCAGGCACACCTGAATATGAATCTCATTTCCAAAATTTACTGATCAGGGCCTTAACGTCTTATTTAACTTCACTGAGCTCCAATTTCTTCAACCATAAAAGGTCAGGTCACAATACTTGCAGACTGTTGCAGGGAAAATAAACACACTTAAAACACTTCACATTATTCCTGGCTCAGGGGAAAGACTCAATAAAATGATGGCCATCAGTACTATTCATTGACTTGATTTACACTGGAAGAGCTTATGACCAAAAAAGCCAACCATCTACAGAAGACTGTACCACTAAATTATACTGAGGATCCAAACTGCATTAAAAAGTAAGACACAGCACTTTGCCTGGTGAACCCACGACACTGTTTGGCTGAAAGGTATGGTTATATTGCTGTATTTAGGATTACAGTATAAAATTCATCATCTAGTTGATGCATAAACACCATTCATGAGTGTTGGACACAGACTTATTAGTGCTTCAGTAAAAAAAATAAAAATAAAAAAAGAGAAAATATGCTTATTTTAATCCACAGGTAGAATGGAAAGAGGAGTCCAAATAAACGCACAAAACATGACTAATGAAGACGACCTAAAGAGAGATTAAAAGAACGTACAACATTACCATTAATTCGATTTAGCCTGTCTTCCTTCACTACCTTCGGACAAAGAGTCTGTCTTTT